CCCAAGCATGGGCATGTTGCTTGGTGCAGCAAAGTGCCTCTTTCCAAACATCCCGGATTAATTTTTTCAGGTAAGCAGGGCCTAAAGCTGGTTTCCTTTGGAGACAGGCTGGGCCTTTCTTTTTGGCAGCAGCTTCAGAAACGGGAGACATCCCATTTTGTGGGAATCGCTGTTGGAAGAAGAGCTTGGTTTGCAGCTGGAAGAGTTTTATTATTAACTATTTAATTCAATGGTGGTGTTGGGGGAAAGGAACCGGCACCTGATTTTCCTTGTGCAGTAGCTGCTAATAAGACATTTCTGGCCAAACGCATCAGTCGCTGTGAAAAATCAGCTTTCCCGTAGGAGTAATGGGAGCAAGTTGCATAGCAGCGTAAAAATGGAACAAAATTTATACTCCTGTGCAAGAGGAAGATCCTTTCCAGCTCCGCGTAGCTATGAAATTAGAGAAATGCCCAATGTTTTCCCATTTCTAGCATTTCCCGGGTCACTTTAGGACGCTCTTTGCCTTTGCAAACGCTTTTCCGCCCTCAGAAGCAATTTTCATCCCTGTCATTTTTCCTATTAGCAGACGAGGACCCCAGGTGCGATAGGGATTCGGGAATGATGCTGCAGACAGGCGTCAAGCAGGGGTTAAACTTCAAGCAGGGGTAAAATATATATATATAAATATCATGTAAGGAAAAGTTTGACAGAAAATATATATAAATATCAAGTAAGGAAATGTTTGACAGGAAATATATATAAATATCAAGTAAGGAAATGGTTGGTGGATTCGTGGCTGATCCAGGGTAACCTCCTGATGCTCTTCAAAGCGCCTGGAGGCCAAATGCCTCCCCTGAGCGGGAAGGAGCAGCCCTAGGACTAGCAGAAAAGGCTCTAAAGTCACACGGACGCTCCTTTAAATCCCGAAATTCCCACGTGTGTGCGTACAATTGAAACCAAACTCGTGGGCGAGGAGGAGGAGGGGAGGGCGCTGCTGAAGCGGGTGGCGTTTGGCCAACGCGGCGGTCACCGCACGGCCCCCTCAGACCCGTTACCGCCTGTGGGTCGTTAACAGGGAGGATTTTGGCAGCCAGCTGGTTGTCCTCGGCGCTCGGTTCCTTCCGGGAATACTCCTTGGGAACAGGGGGCTGTGAGGACGGGGTTCCCCTCAGCGGTGCGCGGCGGCCGCCTCCTCTCCCCTCACGCCGCTTCCCGCCGCTCCCTGTTTCCCTTGGCATCCCCGGCGGCCCCGCGGGGCCTTCCCCACGCGAGGGAAGGCAGCGCCGCCGCGGCGCAAATCGAGCATGAAACGGGCGGCGGGGCCGCGGCGCGCGGCGCTCCGCGTCCTGGCCGCCCTCCATAGGCGCATCCCTGCGGAGAAGCGGCGGCAGCCGGAGGAAGCGCCAGCCAAGGCAGCGAATATGCGGAGTTTCATCTGATCGCTGGGGATTTTTTTCCCCCGCTTTTGGAGCTGATGCCTGGGAGGTTTTTCCGCGTCGCTGCCGGGAGCCGACGGGGAGACGTGGAGCTCTTAGGCCTGGGCTCGGAGCCCCGCGCGTGGCCAGAGCGGGATCGTGGCAGCAGGGGGTGAGTAGCCGCCGCCGAGCATCTCCTGTCATTGACTTTGATACAGACCCCACATTAAATAAATAAAACAGCAGCTGGAGGGATTCCTTTAGGGCAGCCCCAAACGTTAGAGTGGCAGCGAAGCGCTCGAATCCGGTGGTGATTGAACAGGCAGCATTTTCTTTGCAGGGTTAAATCGGGGGGGGATTCGTGGTGTTTTTGTGTGAGCTCGGGGCTCTCCGGTTCCAGCGCTCCGTGGTCGGCAGCACCCTGTGGCCTTTGGAAGCCTTTCTGCAAGGGACAAGTCCGTGGGAGGGCCGTGTTGCTGGAATACATGGAATTAGCTGAGAGGGGAGCTAGGAACAACCTGGCGTTAGTTCTCATCTCAAGGGAGGTGAATGGCTGTGCAGCCCGTTGTTATTTCCTGATTTTGAGGAATCTTTCACTGATTCCCAAATCGACATCCCCCTAACCACATTTTCTACATTATTCACTCGTAAATATGTTCTAAATTGCTGCTAGTAACACCTAGAACACTTCTATTTTACGAGGCTAGGTTAACCAGCAATTTCTTCGTGAGATGAAAATATAATTCACTTCCTTCTCATTATTCCTTCCTGTATCTGTCTTCAAAACCACCTGGAATACAAAGTAATACCTTAAAAAAACTGCTTATCCATGCTGTAAAAACCTTTGTGATAGACAGCTATGTTGTTACTAGACTGCAGGATTCCTAAGCAGTAAATAATTAACTGGCTTTAAAAGGCCTTTCCTTTTTGCACTTTCCAGGAGCGGCTTTGCCCGCGTTGCTGCCTCCCAAGCTGCTGTTTCAGGACTCGGGGCTGCTCTGAAGTGGCACAAACGGGGACAGGGCACCCCGAGATGGGCACAAAGCGGTGCTGAGCTTCGCTCCTGCCCCACGCTCTTCAGCACACGCAGTAGCTCCTCTCTGCTGCTGGCTCAGCCCAAAGCGGCGTCATTTGTGCCCGGAGCCAAAGCAGGGTTGGTTTTGTGCCTCGCTTACGTGTTCCTCCTTGGCCGAGCTGCTTTCCAGGCGCTTTAGAGGGCCCAGTCAGCCTCTGCCAGTTGTAAATTAACCCTCTGCAGCCTTTGCATTGGGCTCCTGCTTTTCCTCCCCATGCCCCTTCCTTGCAACGTGCAGCAGCGGGTTGGTTTGGAGCCTCTTTCTCCTCCAGGTTTTCAAGGCGACGAATTCCCAGGCAGCAGCTCAATAAGTTCTGCAGCTTCAGGGCGCAACCCCCTGGCGAGTTACGTGTTGCTGGCGTTGAAACCTCCGGAATTAGAGGCACAGAGTGAGGAATTGCAAACCCCGCTCCCTCCACGTGCACGTTCCTTAGGTTGTCTTTATTAACAGCAGAAAAACACTCTTGCTTCCAAACACGAAGTTGTTTTTGCCTAATGCACTCCCTCATGACTGCATCCCAGGAGTTTTTATGAATATTTCATTGCTTGTGGAGAGTGACCTTCTTGCACGTTTAGATGAAATAAATGGATGGGACTCAAACGCTTACAACTCAATCCAGGCAAGTCTGGAAGAAGCCTCTCTGATAAAACTCTGTGAGATTTGATGTCTCTACAAGCTCGGGGATCAAATATTGGCTGAAGAAGAAAACAAACTGCAGCAGTGTCTGCATAGGCAGTCGATGCTGTCAGCTTGTCCTGGGATAGGAGTTGGAAGCTTTTTCCAAGCCAGCCGTTGCAGTAAAGAGGCAACTCCTGGCCCAGGGTGCTCCTATTGCCTCTTCAGACAGGTACAAACTACATGGTGCCAAGTCCAAGCCGTGGAAAAAGAGGCATCTTCATGCAAACCTTTTCCCTTCTTGCAAAGCAGCATTGAATTTCAGCGTGCAAATTACTCGGGCGACCTCAGTTCCCATATTAGCAGACTTATGTGGTTGGGATTCATCTCTGCTGCTTCAACATGGTTTGATTGTACACGATCCACAAGCTGGAGTGAGAGAGACCTGATAACTACATTTATGCTATCAGAATAATTAGCTGGCAAATGTGCCCATGTGAAAAGGGGTTTTAACTTGGAGGGTAATAAAACAGTAGCTTCAAAGGTAGCAAAAACCGGTTTTTGGAAGGTGCTCCATTAGCAAGACTTGATATAAATGATGGATTGAGGTAAATGAAGATAAAGTGGTGCTTGAATCACTGGGCTAATTTAGGAGATAGCAAAAGTAGCATCTATTACTGGCGAGACCAGAGCGGAGAGCAGCTTTTTCTTAACAGTGATTTTACATGTCTGACTTTAACCAGTATTTAGGTGTTTAGCTGCTCCAGGATTTGTCCCAAGGATACTCAGGCCCTAGATTTTCCTTTATTTATTTTTTTTAAATAAAGCAGAGAAATACCTAGCAGGGAAAATGAGCCTCGCATTTCTTGCTCTTAGCCATCAGACATACTTTCCCCCCAATGCACACATTCCAAAGCGATGCAAAGAGGTGGTATTTGCCCTGTGGTTTCTCACTCCTCTCATTTGCTCAGACCAGCACTGTGATCTGAGGAGAGGACAGATACGACAGAGGCATTAGAAAGAGGGAAAGGAGGAGGAAAAAGAAGGAAGTATTTCTATTTATTTCTAATATTGTCAGGAAAAGTAGCAGATGCAATAGTGGTTTGGAAACTTCATGAGCTTGTGCTACGGCTCAGCTCGAGGAATCTCGCTTGCGTGTGTCTGCCAGGGAGGCAAGCTGGAATTCCATCTTGGAAAACCACGGCGGGGATGACCGGGTTTCCTTGGAACAATGACCTGGCCCTTGCCAGGAAAAGCATCAGCCTTTCCATGGATGTGGAGCTGCTGGCAAAAGCTGCTGCCATCTCATTTTCTCCTCGTCTCTTCTACAACACAACACCCAACCTGCTGGGGTCTGTACCCGCCTCCTTTGCTCCTAACCTTCTGTTTTGCTTTGAATCATTGGGTTTTTTTTTATTTTTAAGTAAAATCCTGAGCGTATTTGCTGGCACGGGAAGCCAGGGCACCTGAGAGGAGATTTCTGCTCTATTTAACCCCTGCTTCAAGAAAGCAACGAGATACATAGACCCATGTGAAGCCCGGGAGGGAGATAAATCGTATTATCTAGCAATTAATTTTGGCAGGAGAAATCACTGGTGTCTGATCCCTCGGTGTTTATGGGGACGCTCTCAGCAAATACTTGATTTTACAGGCTCATAAAGGTGCGTGTTTAACGCCTGGCTCTGAATACTCCGTTTCCCATCCCTATTTTTATTTCTAAGCTCAGCTAAGTTGCCCAAATCTGGTGGTATTGTAGATCCATAAACGTGGAGCACGGAGTGTTAGACAGCTCCACACAGAGCAGCTCTCTGCTCCTTCCCAGATTCCCAACCGGAGCCGGAGTGAGCGGATGCGGCTCTCCCAGCGCGGCCCTGCTCCCTGACCTGCTCTTTCTCTTCTCTCCCTGCTCCAGCTTTCGCTCCCGGAGGAACAGAATGAAGTAACACGGAACGGCTGCGAATCCAAGGAACTCGTCTACCTTGTCCAGGTCTCTTGCCAGGTAAATCCCAGCATTTCCACTCTTATTTAGCAGCCTGCACTGCTTTACACTTAGGAACACAACCTCATGGTGTTTTGCTGTGTCCCCTTGCTGCAGGAGGCTTTTTTTCCTGCCTATTCCCTAGTTCTAGGAGAAGGAGGTTGGCTGTGGTGCTGATTTTTAAGGAAAAGGGCTGTAACTCATGCCCAGCTGCTGAGGGATCCTCCAACACCTTCTGCTTCGGGGCTTCATCAGACTAAAATGAAATCATTGGGATTTGGCCTCCTCACTTTGCTGAGTCACCCCTTCCTTTTTATTTTCCCAATAATCTGCTCCACTAGCCGGAATTTCTCCCTACTCTCCACTTGGGATCCACCTCTCTTCTTCCAGCCTATGTCCCTGTCCAGATGCTCCCCCAGCTCGTGGCATCTGGATCCAACGGAAGGCATGGAAGGAGCAGCCGAGGATCATTGGCACCACGGAGAGACTTCAGCCCTGATATCTCAAGGCCTCTCCCAACATCCAGGGAAAGATTCGGATACCAGGGGTGTCAGATTTGGCTCCGTGGTGGAATTAAAAGGGAGGTGTGAAATAGCTCATGGAATGATAGTGCAACAGGGAGAGATTTTGGCAGGATGCATCCGCATCGAGCCAAAAATACTGCAGGAGGGAGGCAGGATTAAAAGAAAAAAAGCTATAAAACAAATTTCACTTTGATTGCTGCTTGCATATGCCCCTAGCAGTAAAAAATCCTGAGTTTTTCGGATGGACTGAAAGAAAACACATTCTCTGGATTAAGACTAAATCCCTATCAACTAAAAATCTTGGAGATGCCATGACTTGGTGCAAGAACAAGGAGTGTAGTAAGCAGCAAGGTCCCCTCCTAGATAAGACTGATAAATCCCTCCTAGATAAGACTGGAAAAAGGGAATTTTTGCACTGTGTTTGCAACACGTCTGCGAGGCCTTTATGGGAATTTATGAAGCGGTTGCAGTAATAAGAGCTTCAGGGACTGAGAGAATTCCAGGAAAAAGATAAGATCCGAGCGGGAAGAACACACAGGATTCCCCAGCCTGACTGCTTTGTGGGGTAGGAGAATGAAATATATTTCACAGAAGCAAAAGTTTGGGGCTACTAATGTCAAAAAAGTGGTTTGCTGGTTGTGTTTGCCTGTGATAGTCCGTGCTAAAAGCCACTAAGCTTGAGTTAAACCCTGGAAATCTTCTATCCAATTCCTTTTCTTGTCTTAAGGGTCTGTTTAATGTATTAAGAGCTTGGGGGGCTGCCATTCAGACACCTAGAGGGCAGTTATTAAGTGCTACGTAGGCTCCTGTGAAAGGCAGCAGCTCTTCAGGCGGGTGGACTCGAGGGACTCAGTCTAAAACACACATAAATATATATGCGTATATGTGAAAAATCAGCTCCTCTGCACGGATGTGATACAAGCCTGGGAGCCTGGGTATGTTACGTGTGAAATTGCATTTTCTACCTTGATTTTTTGATGATTTCCCGCTCCCAAAGCTGTGTCCTTGCCTGTGAGATGAGCAGTGATCCCGTGGGGCTTGAATGGGGCTCCTGGGCTACACGCCGGCGAGAAAGTAAAATGAAATGACAATAATTTAGGCTAATAAAGAATTTATGAAGCTGGCAAGGAGCCCACAACGAGAGCTCTTTGGCTCTGCTCGGAGCGAAGATGGTGCCAAGGCCCTGGCAAGGTCGTGTTGTTGAAAAGCTTGGGTTCCTTCCAGGCTTTTTCCAAAGGGAAATCGCAGCTGCAGGGAGGAGAGGAAACGGCGCGGACTTAGATCACAGCTTGTCTGGAAACCTCTAAGAGCTGCCTGATTAACGTCGGTTCCTCCGGGAAGGCCGAGGGATAAATTCATTCATGGAACAGGGTGATGTTCGCCAAGGCTTCACCTGGCTTTGCTTGGGCACTGGTTGAGACTCAGGTAAAAACATGAAGCTTTCAAAGCCCTTTTCCAGCATGATTTATAATAAAAGGAGCCAAAGGGTCGTGCTGGAATAACACACACAACCTAAGACCCAGACAGCTGTAAAAGTCACCCACGTGGCCAGGGCGAAACTCCTGGGATTCTGGCGTTTTTCCAGCCGTTTAATCCTCAGTATTTTCTTACCGGAGGCTCAAACCGAAGTGACTTTTGCTCTCTGCTTTCATCTCCTGGTCTTGGGCCCCGTGCAGATGGGTGAGGTTCCCCGGAGCATCCCTCTAATTTCTCTCAGGACCTGAACCAGAAAGGAGAGGCCTGCGTCTGCCTTAAGATAAATAAATCAGGAAAGAAGGAGGCCTCTGCGGCCCGAGTTGGAGGGATTTAGCCAGAAACGCAATATTTTACTTTTCCTCTTGGACACGTGTATGTTTTCCATAGTGGTCAGGCGAGTGGTTTGAGAAATGACGGAGCAGAGGCGCTTTTTTTAACTCTGGGAACGAAATGGGAGGGGACATTTAAGCCTTCAATTTGCTCTTCCCTACCCAACCAGCACTGCAATTCCAATCCCTGGCTCGCTGGGAATGAAATCATCAGTTGGGTAATGGCTGAACCTTTTATTTTCTGTCGCTTTCTTTAACCTGACATTTCTTCTCGCTCGGAGAAGGAGCACGAAACAAGGAGCTCTGTGCCACGTGCCCAGATCTCAGCAGGCTTTGGTGCTGCTCCGCTCCCACGCAGCTTGCTAAGGCAAGTGGAAGATGAGACAGCAGTGAGGCAGGGAGCACATCCAATTGGCTGCTTTTTTAAGGAATTCCATGATTACCTCAGTGCTGCTGGATAAAATAGCAAAAAAAACCTCTCGCTTTTATTCTAGGGGTTTTAGTGATTTTTCTTTTAAAGAAATAGGAATTAATGGGACTTCAGCATGTGCCTCGTGGTAAAACCCACCTGCTGTGGAAGGTGGTGGCCTGGCTGCTCCCTTGGCGCCCATGGAACCTCTGTGGTTCTAAGGAAAACAATCCGGAGCCTCTGGAGCTCGGCAGCACCTCCCGAGCAGGTGAGCAGGGGAGCTGGGCTCCCCAGAGGCCCCTTCCCATCCCCTCCTGGCAGATGTTGCCCATTTTGTGCATCCTAAAGGGATCTGATTCCCTCTCCTCAGGCTCATGGGGTACAGGTGATTCCTGGCAATGCGAAAGGGGAGTTGAGGGATCACAGCCTGGAGTTGTCTGGAATTCATTGGACAGACTACAGCTAGTGGGAGCTTGCAGCTAAGCAGCCAAATACCTGGTAGCTTATAGGATTTACATCTAAAATGGCCATAGAAGCTTCAAATAATAATAGAAAATTCGTATTTACAGCTTCCCGGTATGCTGCTGAGGATCATCCTAGGGCTTGCATGGAAGATTAATAACTGTTGCTCAAGTGCTTTGACCTGTGGCTTGCTCCATCCTCAGGACAGTTTTCATCAGTGGTACCCAGGCAGGAAGGATTTGGAGGCTTTTTCTTTTATTTTTCTGCCAGAATTGCAGTTTTCCTCAGCTAAACCAAATTGGGACAAGCCTTCCTAAAAGGTGCTGCTGTTTTCTCTTGGTGCAGGGAAGGAGCTGGATCGTGAAGCGCAGTTATGAAGATTTCCGAGTGCTTGACAAGCACCTTCACCTGTGCATCTACGACCGCCGCTTCTCCCAGCTGGCCGAGCTGCCCCGTTCCGACGCCCTGAAGGACAGTCCGGAGGTAACGGATCCAGCCCTTGGAGCACAGAGCTACCAATAAGCACCTGGAAAAGGAATTTGGGGGGCTTAAATTAACCAAATCCCAACAAATGCTGGAGGAGAAGAGTGTTCCAAACACTCCTGCATGCTCAGGGCTGTGATTTTTGCTTCCTAATGTCAAGGGAAGCTTTGGAAAGACCTCGACAGGTTCCTCTTATCCAAGCTGTGCAAGGGATGTTGCTAAGTGTATTTTTAAAACCCTGTTGCTTGAAAAATTAGTGTTTTGCCAAGGGGCCCCTTGCAGTTGCCACGTTCTTAAGGGTTTGCATGGCCTGTGTTTTGTTCCAGTGACTGCTTCTCAGATGTGTTTGACGGGCGTAATATAAATGATTGGTTTCTGTGGGAGATTCACGAGGAGCAGAAAGCTTTAGATTTAATGTCCCCAGACAAGGAAAATCACAAAAAATCCCCCTATGACACTATTAGGAAACTGCTCCTTTACACAACCGTTGCCTAATTTATTGCAGCACTAAATGCAGTTCATCCTCCTCCTCCCCATGACAGACACCCTTGCAAAGGGGAATATATTTCCAGAGCTGTATTAATGGATCAGCTGTGGTAGTTTGGAAGAAGCAGCTCCAAGGAATGACTGGAAAACTGTGTGTTTTCTCTCCCATGCCAGCTGGTCACCCAGATGCTCATGGCTTATCTGGCCCGTCTCTCGGCCATCGCAGGCAACAAGATCAACTGTGGGCCAGCCCTCACGTGGATGGAGGTACAGTCTGAACCTCACGTTGTTCTGTCTCCTGACCCTTGCCAGGACAGCAAAATGCCCAGCAATTCCTTCTGTATTTCCAAAGAGAGGTATAATCCTTCTGCAAAATCCCCCCAAAAGCTTGATTTCCCTGTTGCAGAGGTGCCCAAGGTGCCCAAATTACAGGGCAAGCAGGAGCAGGCCCCATGTCCACAATACAGGAGCTATTTTCTCCCTGGGCTCGGATTTTATCATGGAAAATAAGCCATCACCCCAATGTTCAGGAAGGTTCAGGAAGAGAAAGAGCTGCTATTAGGCACTTGCAGAGCAGCTTTAAATGCTCCTTTATGCATTGAGTGCATTTTCCTGCCGTTTTCCCACTGCTCTGCTTGTTCCCCACCCCAAAATCCTTTGAATTTTTGAAATTTTGGCATTTTTGAAAGCAGGCTTCTGACTGCAGCGCAGGATAAGGAACCATGTTCCCTTAAAGAAACAAATAATATGGTGCTCATTTTCAGTTTGACATCATCTTTTTTTTACCTTGGTGCCTCTCTTGGAACGTTACTTCGTCTTTGCAGAGTTTTTACAGTTATTTTCATGTTGTCATTTTAAGTGCTTGAAGAAAAACAATATGATTCAGTGTTAAAGGGAGGCATAAACCCCCACTGTCACCTTCCTTTCTGCATCCAGAGATGCACAGATACAGCGTTGGCCTCCTCAGTTATGTGCATGGGGACACTGCAGTGCCCTTTGGGTGGCCCTGCCTCTTCACTAATGTATGTGCTGTGCTGGATGATGGCTCTGCACGCTGGTCTCTTGAAGGGGCCCCCAAGCTGTGCTGTCCCAGTGAATCAGCTTGAAATCCCTGCCGTGTAGGAGCACCAAGAACCTGCCACAACCAACACTTGTCCTCAGCTGCCTCCTCATCTCCCGTGCTCTCTGTTTCAGATTGATAACAAGGGGAATCACCTGCTGGTCCACGAGGAATCATCCATTAACGTTCCTGCCATCGCTGCTGCCCATGTCATTAAGAGGTATATTGCTCAGGCAGCAGATGAGCTGTCCTTTGAGGTAAATAATTAAATGTTCTATGTTGTCATATGTAGAAGAGTGTCATTTGGGTGTTTGCAACAGAAATATATTCATGCACTTTCGGAATGTTTTGAGTGATGAGGCTTGGGAGTCTCAGATAAAGACACTTGCACTAGGCTGGACAGAGGGGTTCAATCATCTTTAAAATACAGCTTTACTTGGCCTTAGTATCCTCTGATTAAACTGATCCTGCCACGTATTCTAGGCTGGTCTTTGAGCAGCAGCAGAGCCTGCAGAGCTCATATGGTACCATGGATTAAAATGTTAAATATCTTCAATCTATGTATGTGTGTATGTGGACACATAGCAATTTAATTAACCATTGGCCAGTTTTACCCAGCCTGTGCCCCTCTAAATGGGTGCATGTCTAAAACAGGTCAAATTTCAAGCATTTCTACTCCTGGAAGAGGTAAAGAACCAGATTGTCAAAGAATGTAGTGCTTAGGAGGTGATTCAAAGCTATTAAGAAGACCTTACCTGATGCAGCATAGGAGCTGCTGGGAAGCAAAGCTATTGAAGAGCAGGCTCTGCAATGTCCTCTATATCTGAGTCTCTTGTCTTGCCCACCCAGCAAGCAGTATTTTATACTCTGCTTGCTTGCTTATGTGCAACGTTAGCATAAGTGGAGTACTGCTAGTATTAGGCAAAAAAAAAAAAAGAAGTAAAAATGAAAACAGTTAGTGCTCCAAGGGGTTTTTGTGATCCTCCTCTTAGCCTGCAGCACGAGAAGTAAAAATCCCATTTGTCCCCATTTGTCCTCCCCATTTGTCAGGCTCCCAAGTGGGTGCCAGGTGGACAAGCAGGCTGCTATAAGGCAGAGTATCCCTAACCCACCCTGTCCTTTTATATTTAAGCTGTCGTGCAGGTAGGTGACCCTGGCGTTTGCTTGTCAGTACTCGGGAGTAATTCGGGCTTCTCTGCTCAGTGTGTTGTCAAGCAGGGAAATTTTCCCCACTGGGGATTTGCTCTTCCCTTGAGCGAATCATTTCACGTACCTGTGGCTCAGTTATCCCTGTCAGGCAGGTAGAGATGGGTTATCTGCTTTGAAAAGCCCTTTGAGAGCCACTAGGGCAAAATGTCAGGTCAAAGTGAGGCATTATTGATAATTTTCACCATACCAAGCTGAAGTAATAAGTTCTGCTCTGACTTTTCACATTGTCACCTCTGCCCCTTTGGTTTTCTAATAAAGAAAACTCTCTGAGAGCTCGTGAACACTAAAGGGAGCTCTTAACATTTTGCCAGGAAAGGAAACAAGCAGACATATGTAGATGCATACATTGAGATGTACATATGGCATGAAGCGAAAATGACTTCAGCTCCTTGAAAATCTCTCCCAAAGTTTTCCATGCTGTCGCTGCAGCTTAATCAGAGCAGTTCTGTCCCCTTTGGCAGAGAGCCTGCTGCTTTTGACAGTCTTCTCCCTATGAATAGCTCCAACAGCTGCATGCTGGAGGTTGGGGAACGCTCTGAGCTTTCTACCTCGCCGTTTGCTCCTCAAGATGTCTAAGGATTTGCACTGGAGAAGTTATTCAGCAGCCTGGGGGTTTCATGCAGCGGGGAGGGATGCCTGGATCGGAGTCGTGCTTCCTTCTTGCCCCCTTGCAAGCTGGGCCTGACCTTGCCAATCTTTTCCAGGTGGGAGACATCGTGTCCGTTATTGACATGCCTCCAAAGGAGCTGACCACGTGGTGGAGAGGCAAACACGGATTCCAGGTAGGCATGAGCACCAGCTTGAAGACAGACACATAAACCATGCAGCTGCAGTGCCCACGATTGCTTGTGAATATAGAGAGGGCATTTGCACTTCCATTTTCTCTTTGAACTCGAGCTAGATGGGGTCTCCACTGGAAGAATCCTGCACAAGGTAGGAATAGTCCTAAGCCTTTGATCTTGATGGCCTAGTGCTGGTAGAAGATCATGTTGCAGCCTCCCTGCAGCAGCTGCCCCTGTTATCCAAATCCTCCCATTCTTTCCACTGGCTAACATTTAGACAGGGCAGAACAAAGGATTCAGGGAAAACCAGTGGATGAGCCTTTGCCGTGGACCTGGACGAGCCACCCAACTAATCTGTGCTTCCACCTCTGTATTTGTTCAAAGGTGATAAGAATTCCAGGTCCCTGTAAAAATTGGAGCTGAGCTTTAGATGGAATTTTCGAAAGATCTTTAAAACAGCTGAGAATCGGGCACGAAACCTTCTGAGTGAAAATGGCTTTTTCCTCCTCCTTGGCTTATTCTGCAGCTTTAGAATTTGCTCATTAGGAAATAAAAAACAAGATTTTTATTCACAAAAGGAAAAAAATCCCAAAGCTACTAAAAGGTAGAGGGACTTTCTACCCCTTTGTGCTGTGGTGCCTCTCTGTGGAAGGATTCTCAGGTGAGTCTCTCCATGAGTAGGTGAAATTTGGAGTTTGCTCTGGAGCAACCTCAGTGCTCACCTGACACAGGGGTGTTTTGGCCTGGGAAATCTTCCTAAAGTCCTGCAGATTTTCCCTGAGAGGCCTTCCTGGGGCAGCCCCAGGTGGGGTTCTGCTCTCATTCATGGCAGATCCGTGTGCTGTCAGCTCACAAATCCCATCTGGATTGGGTGTTAAGTTCTAAGATTGCCTTTCAGCTCGGCTCACGTGCGATTGTAGCAGATGTGGGAGTGCAGATAATGGCTCATTTGATGGAAAATTAGAGCAGCGTGGACACCTGATAGCTGCCAGGAAATTCAGTTTGTTTGCAGTTAGCACAGTGGCAGTTCCTGAGCAAACCTGCCTGTTCTTGGGCTCGTTTTGAACAGTGTTTTGTCTTTGCAGGGCCTTGCTATTGTTGCACTGTCAAAAATCGGTGATACAATTAAGCGGCATGAGGAATTTCTAAGAAATTTTGCAGTTCCTTTTGAAGGAACCTGCAAAGAAAACCTTTTGAAGGTTGCCATTTCCATTTTTAATGACAAATTAAGGCTGCAATACCCTTACCTCTTAATTTATAAGCCAGAGCCTTACCCAGAGCAACAAACAGAAATACAGCCCCTGTGATAGATGGTTCAGCAGCTCTCAGCTGGTGGCTGCACAAATGCAACAGCAGAAGCCAGTAGGTTTAAAGAAGTTGCTGCCTGTCAGCTGAGATAGGGGAAGGGGCCATCTGCAAGCCCTGCTCGTGCTGCATAAAGCCACGTTAGCTGGGAAGGGGGATCAGCAGTTCTATCTGCCTTGACAGGTGGTAGTTTCCTGAGCTCTGCTAGCTCAGTTTTTCCTACATAAACTCATCTCTTCACATAAACATGTCTCTTGATGGGCAGAGAGACATTTTCTCCTCTGAGCTGACAGTTTGGGGCATTTCTCAACGTGCACATCAGAGATTTTGTTGCCTGCATCCCCCTCAGCTAGCTAGAGATGCAGATTCCAGTGGTGTACAAAGCTGTAGGAAGGTTTTTTGAACCTGTGCTGAAGTTTTAAGGACTGCAAAAGCCCAGGAAAAAACCTGCTAGGTTTAATGCACATGCAAGCACAGCTGTGGCACAGGTCAGTAAAGAAGTGGGGAGCTGTCAGAACGACTTAGGTCGGGAAGGGAATGCAGCAGGACTGCAAAATAAGTAGCTGGAGGGAGAAGAAGTCAAATCAGGTGGTGGATAGAGAGGGATGCTGAGAAGAGGAGGCAGAATAAAGGAAAAGTTGGGAGGAAATTTAGGAAATGGAAAAAGCAAAAAAAGATTAGATATTTCTATTGAATTAGAGATTAGAGATTAAATGAGAGATTGCAATTGAAAAGAAAATCCCACAGGTTTCCAATGCGGATTCAGCAGGGGAATGGGTTTGTTCTTTGTCAGGCACCCCCTCCTTTGGGGCTGCATCACCTTTTCCTGTTAATCCTTTGAATTTCCCAGTTTTCAGGGACCTTCCTCTCAGTAGCTCATCTAATAACCGCAGCTCAAGCCCCTCAATCCTGCACGGAACAAAACAACCCACTAGGCTTAAAGGATTAAAGTAAAATCAAGACTTCCAAGACGTTTTTTCTCTTGCTCCAACCTTTTCCTTGCAAGTCCTCGGTGACTCACTGCTTGCTTTGCGAGCTCGTTACCTAAACTGCAGCCACCTCCGCGTTCGCAGCCACCCAATTCTCTTTGTTCCCATCCTCTTTTTATTCATCCCTCGTCTTTTCCGCACGGATCTGGCGCGCGGGAGGACGCAGCTGGGGGTGGAGGCCACCTCCGTGCAGAGGACGGGGCTACGTCTACGTGGGGCATTTTAGGCAGCATCTCCCAATTTCTCTGCCATTCCCTTGGCTTTTCTGCAGGGTCAGGTAGTGAACGGAGCACGTGGGAATCCTTCAGGATAAGAACTGCATCCCCCTTGTTGGAGCTGGGATGGAAAGGGAAAGTATTTTGTGTTTAGAAAACTCAAAAGATGTTTCAGATATTTTGTCCAAGCAGAGGAGATCCTAAACCCTGGTGTAGGAGAGCAAAGTCTTGGCCACCAAACTCTCCTAATGCCATTTATTGACCAAGAAATTCTCCGGGATTGCACAGGGGACTTATACTTTGTGAAAGCAACGAGGTAGGTCCAGGATGGATCACAGCTTTTGGATAGGCAGGTCTTGTCACATCCATAAATTCCACTGCAAATTCCCTTTGCAACTGAGGCCAGAGCATTGGAGGCTGCTTTTCCCTTGCAGAGACAGCTCAAATAAACAAGTAGCTCAAGCAAAGGGTTTCACGTGCCCTTTATGTGCCTGCTGCCTTCTCATTTGCAAATTATTTGCAAATAATTACAGCTCTTTTGAGCCTTGCCCATAAAGCCCTGTGCAGAAAAGCAAAGATACAGTCGTTGCTGTTGCAGAAATATTTGTCTGCAGCAGCAACCCGTGTTTTCCTCCTTCATTAAGGTGTGTAGTGATTTTGTTTTAACCTTTACATGACCTTACATTATCTAAATATATAACCCTTGCTCTTAGTTTTTGTACATTGCCAAATCCTTTAATCCGGGATCAAGCTCTAACAGTGCCTTGCTACATCTGTTGGGCTTTACTGGGAGACCCGAGTCATTTATTTCTGCAAAATCGTGGAAAACTTCCCATGGAAGGGAAAGCAGCAGCTTTTAAGTGGGTGGGAACGAGGCCCAAGTCAGGGGTTCTGCTCCTACAGACCCTCTCTTGAGGATGCTGGAGGAAAAGCTAAATCACTACCAAGCTGTCAAGGCCTCCAAACTCTTACCTGGGAGCTAATATCCGAGAGCTTGTGCAGCCTAGCACAAATTCCAGTTGTTTTTCCCCCCAAAGGCCACACTCACTATTGATCTGTGAGCGTGGCAAGAAGGGAGTGTTCAAGGAAACCTTCTGCTGTGCTGAGAAGCAGTGACAGGGCCATTGATTTCCACTTTTAAATTCATGGTTAGGGTTGTACGTCGTGTCAGGTAGTAGATATTATGGTAACAGGCAAAGGCAAATGAGTTTCTGATTCCTCTCCGGGATTGTGATGGGATTTAGTTCCCTCATTTCCCATTAAGATTGCTGGAAAACTCACCTCCAAATATTTACAGTTCCAATTGCCTCCTGCATCCCTCACCCAGGTACCAGAGTCTTTAAAAATCACATAATGCTTCTGCTTAAATACCAGTCCTTTTTGTGTATGTATCTAGGCGGCCTCTTCCTCAGCACCTCCTGGCAAAGCAGCAGCTTGGAGTTCGGAGCCATCTGATGAGGGGCTTGGTCTGTCGTGCTGGGATTCGTGCTGTTTGCCTCGTGCTAATCAGGATATTTCTATTTCTGAGCTGCCCAAAACCCACCGTTGCGTTGTGTAACGCGGGAGATGTTTGCATTGCATCTTCCTTTCCTCTAAAAATACCTGTGCTAATGACTAGTCAAATTGCTGGGTTCTTAGTTACAAGGGAAGGTCTCATTTAACTCTGTGTATTTTATTAAATCTTGAATACTGAGATGAATTCATTTTACCCAAAACCACGCTGAATTGTGATGTTTTCACATGTATGATAAGGGCATCTAGCACACTTGTCCTCTCCCCTCCATTCACACAGGTGCTGACTGGTACCTGTCCTTAGAAAACAGATTTATAACACACTATGTTACAGAACCAATAATTTGGCATGGAATTATTTGTCTTTGCCTGCATCATTTTGAAAAATTATTTTTGTTGGGTTGTTTTAGCCTGGATAATGTTATGGTTGCCAAGCAAGCAAAGCTAAAGATTCCGTGAAGCTTCATAAAAGCTATAATTAGACCCAAGTTTAACAGTTCTGATCTAAACCCCCAGTGCTCACTGTTCTGTCTCTCTCTCTATTACAGGTTGGATTTTTCCCTAGCGAATGTGTGGAATTAATTAATGACAAAGTTCCCCAGTCTGTGACCAATTCTGTGCCAAAACCAGGTAGGTGTTTTTAGTTTTTAAGGTGCAATGACATGAAAAGGAGTCGTCTTGTCGATGTTTTGTGCTTAATATCTGCATTATACACCCTGTTATCCTCTGTATGTGTTCAACATCCTTTAGTCATCCCATGTTATCCTCTGTATGTGTGTGTCTCTCTTGGACTAGCTGCTATTACAGTCTTTCATCTGCAGTGTTATATAAGCTAATATCACTGCTCATTTCCTGCGTGTTTTGAAAGATTTTAAGCTCAGAAGACTTGAGATGCCTTCAGCAACAGTAACTAATGTCTCTCTGCAACATCCCAGCCCTTGGTGTTGTAAGAGACTTGTACGTTAGTCCCTTTTCACACACAACATATAAGTGACCCAAAAATGATCCTGCTGGCATAGATGGAACAGGTAAATTGGGTAAATTCCTGGAGGAAGCCAGATCTAACAGAGCTTGGGACCCTTTTTGCTTCCATTCTAGCTATGTAACCCCCTGCACCTCCTGCTGTCCCCCTGCATGGTTACATATCCCATAAAATACAGGCAAATTGATAGCAGACCCTGCTGATCAAAGGCTAATTAAATGGGAGGTGAGATCTGGGATGTGATTCTAGTGGCATCTGTATCAGCATCGCTGGAAGTGGTTGCAGGTGTCTGTTCTAGCAAAGCTGAGGCCTCTGCAGAATTTACTGGGGCTGAAGCTTTCATTTTGTTCTTTCAAAATACATATTCACACACCCACATATAAAATTTAAGATCATGATGAGATACTGCCATGATATCATGAGGCCATCGCTGCTGAGCTCCCCAATAGCTGCTCCCTGCATAAAGTTAGAAGCAAAAAACTGCAGAAAAACCCTCTGTACCTACATTTTAGATGTTAAATTGCCTTTTTTTCTAAAGAATTTCTAAACAAAACCACAGATTTTGTCCTTACTTGACATTAGCAGGATATCTCAACCAGAGTGAACATGAAGTTTTAGATTTGGGTGTGATAAGACATATTTATCAACATGCAACCTTTTTTTCCCTCCAATCAAAACATTGTTTTTTGAGCATCTAGGACATTTTGCAGCATAAAGCTTTGCCACAAAGGAATTTAGAGACATAGAACTGCTTGTGTTGTGTAATTGCCCTTAGATTTGGCTGGATTGAGTAATCTAATGAAAAGCAGATGGAAAACAAAGAACTTCCTGCCCTGAATTTTGATTATTATTTATAATTAGAGGGTTTGATTTGCCGAAGTGATGAGGACAACATTTTAATAGACCCGTAAGATGCCGGATTGCTCCTAAATGCGGGACAAATAAGGATTGAAATTCAAATGTAAATGAAATGCAGGCAATCAGAGGAGGAGGCTGGGCTAAAATGCAAGCTCTGCTCTTACAACAGTATTTTTATTTTCCTTGACTGTGGAAGTTGATGCTCACACCAGTGAGAATGCAGCCAGTGTCTGAGGCAGACAGAAGGCAAACTATCCTTGCAGGAAAACCCTATTTTATTCAATTCTGAAAATTCCAAGTAATAAGAAGGAATATATATGTATTTTTTACCTTAAATAATCCCTGGAATAGCTAAAACTGCCATCTCCCAAAATACTGCTTGTGATCTTAGCCACACGGAGACCGGGAACTGGCCTTCAATATGAGGTAGGTACTTTGTGTTCCTGACACAGAGCTTCCGTTCCAGGTACAATTCAGAATTTAGTCTGAATTAACTCTCTGAACAAGCTGCCTCACTACTTGTAGACGCAATTTATACACAAGAAAGGCCAAAAAAAGGAAAATAGAAGGTGCTTTGGATTCCCTTGTTACTTACAGAGTAGCCTTGGCCCTTCGTTTTCCTGCTAAGCTGCTGCCCTGAATTTTCGTGTACAGCTCCGTAAGGAAATCCCTTTTTTTGCTTCCCCAGACTAAATGCAAACTGATGCCCTGACTATTTCTATTTACATAAAAATCCACTGCACGGATCCAGAAGGGTAGCGCAACACCAACAAATCCCAACTAATTTGTCTCAATCCAGGGTGTTTTCTCCTCTCTCAAAATTCTCCCCGAATTCTTACTCAGATAAAGAATTTTAGGGTTTATTTCTTGAGCTAAATGATTGTATTGAATCGGAACCCAATATTTTATAACTAATGCCATTCCATGACAGTTCAGCTGAACTGCAGTATTCCTTTACATGGAATCAGGTCTTACATAAAAAGGGTGTTGAAGAGATATGGGAGGAAAGACTGGATCTGAAATTCAGATAGTCATCTTGGTGAAAAGCAAATCCTTTAAATATTCATCGTGCTGCTTGAGGAAGTCAAGAATAGCTGGTTTTCAGTGCACATTTAGGAAAACCCTGCAGATTTAGCCTGTTTGCTCCTCCCGTTCGGTTGTATCCAACCCTGGTCCTTCCCAGGAGCAACGCCTGTGTGTCCATGCCTTTGTATCCGTCTCATTCCATGTTTTTCTCCTACTTCTGGATATTTACTGTGGTCTTTTTACATGTATTCCAAGTGTCCCATCGTTTTTCCACTCACACATGCCACGTGTTTCCTGTGTTTTCCTAACGGGCAGCGTGGTGCTGTGGGGGAGTTGTCTGTGGTGCCAAATTTTCCATTTGGGAATGTGGGAGCCGTCACCTTCCTTGAAGTGGGCTGGCCTTGGCGGCGCCTAGAGGAAATAGGACGTCTTCCAGGCCTGCTTCTGACTCAACAGAGCCCTTAAACCCAGGCTTTACCATAAACACAGGCTTAGCAGACCCGGCGAGCCCTGCGGCCTTGGGCTGGGCCTTGGGCTACGAGTTCAACCCCCCCCCAAAAGTGCTTTTTTTCCCCCAGAAAAAGGATGCTCCTCGGGTGGGGAATTCCAGGATCCTAAGGCATTTTGCAGCTTTGGAAGGCTTGGGGCTGCGGTGGCACTTTGCAGAGCTGAGCTTGATATGAATTTAACCCCTTTGGAATGGCTGCATGTTTTAACCAACATTTTTGTTTGTTTTTTCTTCTTTTTTTAATTACATCTTCCCAGTTTCCCCCGCCCACGGAGCCCGTCCTGCGTCCTGGAGCTACTTCCCCCCTTGTACGTTCTCCTTGATTCCTTTTTCCTTCTTCCTCTTTATCTCCTCTTTTCTCACCCTGTTTTTTTGTGTATTTTTAATTCCACAGTGCAAGGCCATTCAGGGCAACCAAAGCTTTAGTCTAATATGGGCCTTTTTAAAGCTCTTTAGCCATAAACCAAAATATAGCAGGGAAGTAAAATTAAAAAAATAACAGCAATTGTAACTCTTTCCCCCTAGGATATGATCATTTTGTAGCAATAAAACCATAATCAAAAGGAATTGCTCTGTTAAGTGCAGAGCGCCCAAAAATGAGAATGTCAATTTGAAAGAAAGAGAAGTTAAAAGTTGGCTGATGGGGAGGAATCCATTTGGGCCCTGGCCATTTGTATATTTATATTTATTTTATATTTATTTATATTTATACTGCAGTGGAGTTTATAAGGAGGGCAAAACTTAGCTGCAGGTATATGGACCTGCAGGATTTTTCTTTGCCTTTTCCTCTTTAATAGTCATGTTCTTTGAACTTAGGAGCCCTCCCAGGTGCCATTTCACATCAGTAGCAATTAAAGTGAGATAATTAGGGCATTTGGGGGGTTTTTCTGTCTGTCTTTTCTTTCTTTTTGCCCCTTCCAAGGCAGATCTCTCCGGTCACTTAACACAACCCCGGAGGTGAGCACTCAGATTCGCTCCCCTTTCCCCACCAGTTGCGTAGAGGGAAGAGTTCAAGACTAGAGCAGCTCTAATACAGCTGCTAATTAGCTAATTTGCTTGGTTTCCCTGCAAAAATTAATGTCTTTTGGCAGCCACGTCCATGTAAGAGATCTGAGATGTGGCTATTGCTCCCCGTTCAACCTCACCAAGGGGCTCAGGCCTGGCCTAAGTGCTCCTCCATGCTCTGCCCTGCTAATTCTTGCTTATTATATCTCTATATCTCAAAGATCACAGTTGCACCCCCTAGAACAACCCCCAAAAACCCTTCATATCTCTGCTCTTTCAACGATTCCCTCTGCAACCTCTAGACCAACCTCTACAGAAGGTCGGTCCAGACCAACCTCTACAAAAGGTTGTTCTCCCCCAGCCTCTTCCAGCAGATACTTCCATGTTTGTCCTTTCTCTCACCTCCCTTCTGCCCCCTTAACCACGTGCAGATTTGGAGCTGGAGAGTGTAAAGCCAGGCTCTGCTCCCGGCACAGAGGCCCTGACCCAGGCCCAGCTGAGCTCAGGTAGAGCCCGTTACGCACGACCCGTCTCTCGGTGTCCTAACCAAGCCTAACCCTGTCCGTGGGGGTAGCAATAACTACTAACAGCCTAGGGGCAACTACAGAAGCTAGACGTAGCTGAAATAGATCTTTTTTTTGGTTATTTTTATTATTTTTTAGCATCTCACAGCTGGAAAAGGCCATACCACCTTTTGCAAATCCTCCCCCTTGCAAGCTGGTTTTATTCGGGTCCAAGGAAAGGGTTGGGATTTGCACGGGTTGCAGCGGGAAGGCTCTGCTCCATCCATGGCTCCTGCCCAGCGGGCTGCATCACAAATCAGGGCGTTCTCATTTCTTGATATTTCTCTAAATTTCTCTCAATTCTGGATTTAAAGCGGTTCTTTCTCCCCTTTTTCCCCCCCCATTCCTCTGTGGAAATGTTGCTATATTCGGGATTCGATATCTGGGATTCATCCGGGAAAGCTGCTCCGCAAAATCTGGACCTCAAATCACAGCTGCTCTATTGATGGGGAAAAGAAGCAGTGCGGTGTAGCCTGGATTGGGTTTGGACCCTGGATGGGAAGGCAGGAATCCCATTCCCATTAAACTTGGGGCTTGCAGCCGGATCACTGCAATGTCTGTAGCCTGAGCCATGGGATATTTCCCTGGCGCGGCATTTCCCAGGAGTTGGAAGCGTTGGATCCAATGGGATCTGAAGCCGCTGGGCATCGGGTGTCCACCTTGCGCCGCTGGCAGCAGAGGCCGCAGCCTCCACTTGGAGGCACTGCCGGCACCGGGAGCAACCTGGGAGTCTCCCAAAATCCCAAGGAAACGGCTCAGGTAGAAGGAAGAGCGGGATCCCTTTTGGCATCCCCTCCCTCTTTGGGGAGCCACCACTCAGGGGCTTTCCTGAGCTTCCCATAGGAATTCCCTTTTGCGGCAGGAAGAGCGCGTGGATGAACATTGATCCCATCTCCCGGCACTCGTAGCTCAAGGAGCTTCCAGAGGAGGGTTTTTCCAGGGAGCCGGAAGCTTGAACTCACTTCCGAGCAAAAAATTAAGCTTAAGTAACCGGAAAAGGAGCATTATTTGGAAAGAGGATGTAACAGATCCCTGTGAAGGGGAACACTCTCCATGGAAATGGTCGGATACCAAAAGAAAGGAGTTTTGGGAGCCCGACAGTGGGCGGCTCCGGGCGGGAAAGCGCGCGGGCACCTGCGGGAGGAGGAGCCCGGGGAGGAGCGGCGCGCGGAGCGGCGCTCGGAGCAGCGCTCGGAGCCCGCGCGGAGCCAGGTGAGAGGCAGCGCGTCCCCCCAGCACCCTGGGGTGGCCACCCCATGCGCAGGGACTGCCCTGGGGGGGTCTCGGATGGAGCTGCTGCTCGGGATGCGGTGGCTGGGAGAGGGAGGGATCCCGTGGGCTCCGGCGGAGCCTCCTGAGGCAGCTCCGGGCTGCAGACGCAGGTTGGTCGTGCGGGGATCGGGGATCCCGTAGGACAAATCCAAGGTTTCTGGTTTTAGCCGGATGGAGGAATCACGTTGTGGGGTAGAGGGGTCGGTGTCTGCGGCTGGGAGAGGCTCCCAGGGCTTCTCCGGACCCGCCGTTGGATCCCAGTGCTCCGGAGCGGCCATTGCGGGAGGCAACTGGCTGGCTCTGTTCATTTAATCCCGAGTCGCTGGGCGGGAGGAATGTCGGAAACAGGAGCCCCGGCTCTGCTCCCACCTCCCGAGAAGCGGGAGCCGAGCTCCCCACTCCCATTCATATCAGCTCCTGGGGAGGCAGCGGGGAATGCCGAGGATTTGCATCTCAATAGGATTTCTGCACGTGGCTTTATCCTTTTGTTTTCCCTCCCTGCTCCCGGGGATGCATTCCCGGGGATGCATTCCCAGGCATCGCTGTTGCTGCTGCTGGGGAGAAGGGGCTCTGCATCCATCCCGGCCCTTGTTTGCCGAGCCCCCGGGCTGCCAAAGCCATTCCTATGGAGCCTGCTTTGCAAATAACCCCACATCCCGGTTGTCCAGGTGGCCTCCGGGAAGCCAGAGCCTGTTTGGAGGAGCAGGTGCCCTCCAGGGTCTTGTTATTTATCAGGGAGGAGGCGGATCCATGAGGTGGAGGAGCAAATTCCTGAGCCTCACAAAGCAGCTTTTAGCACGTTGGGGTTGCAAAGCCAGAGCCCTCAATGGGAAAGGAGCCGCGTCCTGGAGTCTGGAGGCGGCTGATCCCGGTCTGGGGTGTGGAGACGGCTGATCCCGGTCTAGGGTTTGGAGGCATCTGGTCCTGGTGTGGAGTTTGGAGGCTCTCACTCCATTCTGGCTCTGAAGCCTTTCCAGGAAGGCAGGATGCAGCGTGGAATATGCCCCATTCGTATGGAATAAAAAGGCCTCCATCTCTGCAATTCTGCAAGCTGGTTCTCAAAGTCTTCCCGATGAAAGAAAGGATTTGGTTTCTTGTTTGGCAGTATCTGCCCTTGCTTTTTCCTTAGGTCCTTCTTGTTTTATTCCTTTTTATTATCAAAAACCTAGATCTCCTTTACACTCCCTGATTTAACCATATAAATGCCAAGCGAAACACCTCCTTGGATCACGGGGCTGTATCTGCTGGACTCCTTTTTCAAGCCCAAGGTGAAGCCCAGGAGTCCCCTACAAATGGAAATATCTTCAGGGCTTTGGGATCATGGTTATTATAAGTAGCGAGATTGCATTGATATCATGTGAAATAAGAGAGATATTAAAATATTATAAGGTAGAGCATGGCACAAGCTCTGCCCCCATGTGGTTAGAGCACTGGGTGGCATCCCCCTGTCCCCACAAAGCGACTCCTTTGGCACCCCGGGGATTTATTCTCCCTACCAGGGCTCTGCTGTGGGAGCTAAAGTGCCTTTAAACCCTGGGCACAATGGAGCTTTGGTTGGGGAAGGCAGAGAGCTTTTGTACCGGCTCCAGCTCCAGAGGGGCCTCCAGAAAGAAAGTTGGTGGTCAGGGATACCCTTGGCCTCTTCCTTGGAAGCTCCAACCCAGCCTGGACGCCCCTTTTGCCGGGCATCTATTTCTGGCCTCCTTCCCCCTACATGGGGGTTGTCACCTGGGCTGGTCCCAAAGCAGAGCACCCAAAATGCGACATCTTCTCTGTTTTATCAGGTCCTCTGTGTTTTATCAGGTCCTCTCTGCTTTATGAGCTCCCTGGAGCTGGCGACAACCACGGATTTGGGCTCTCAGGTCACGTGCCCGGTTGGTTTGGCCCAAGAAACCAGGCTTTGCCTAAGCTTGGCCTATCTCCTTCTGCCTTTTGTAGCCCATCAGCCAGGCTAAGGTGGCAAGTGGGTGGCCTGCATTCAGTGCTGATAAATAGATGGTAAATCCTTCCATTACAGCTGTTTTCTGCACATTTTACCCCAACCAAAAACCACAGCAAAGCCCCATGTCTGCTGAGCAGCAGGACCTGGGGAGAAAACCCTAACAGGGGACCTTGCCCTTATTTTGCAGTGTCCAAGAAGCACGGCAAGCTCATCACCTTCCTGCGAACCTTCATGAAGTCGCGGCCCACGAAGCAGAAGCTGAAGCAGCGGGGGATCCTCAAGGAGCGGGTGTTCGGCTGCGACCTGGGCGAGCATCTGCTCAACTCGGGCCATGACGGTAGGAAACCACTCAGGATCCTCTCCTGCCTCTTCTTGGGGGGTTTTACACCAAACAGAGGCTGTTGGTGCTTGTGGAGAAACGTGTCACCTGAACCAGGGGCTGCAGGAGGAGCTGGAGGATGGGTCCTCGTGGGAGCACCAAAGATGGACAGAACTCCTGCAGCTCTCAAGCTCCCAAAGCCTCCAAATACAGAATAAATATATTTTTAGCAAGGAAATTAACTTTTTACGTGATCAGGTTCAGCGAGGAGTTAACAGGTAGGTCAAGGCTGCACATTTCTCACCCACTATATATAATATAAACTGACAGTTTGCAGTGCAGATCCTTCATCTGCCCTCCCCTCAGCTTCCCCAAACTCACAGGAATTACAACATTTTTTTAAATGACAAATTACTCACAGGGTGTTTTGTTTCACCAGAGCTTTCTTCCTCTCAGGCTCTTAGGTGGACTTTTCTGCTGCTTTTCTCCATCCCTTTCACCTCCCATCAGCAATTTGGGGAAACAGTGGAGAAAAACTGTCTGTTCTGGGGAAAACAAAATCCTGATTATTACTTTTCTTTGGGTGAACTTTGTTTCTTGCGGAATCCGGGAGGCACCTGCAGTGCTGGGCAGCAAGCAGAGGCCTCGGATTCCTTCACAGGTCACTGGCTGTGCGAGGCCGGTCGCATAAACGGCCCCTGCTGAGGTTGTTGAGGGAAGCAGCACAGAGCAGCTTACGAGGTCAGAAAAGAAGACGAGAGCAAGAGGAGGAATAATTTGCAGCACTGGGTAGCTACAGAGCTGGTTTCGTGGTCGGTTTGGGGAGCAGAACAATTTTGGAGGAGCAGGAGAGTGAGCTCGTTGACGATTGAGTTGGACCTAAGGCAGCAATAACTAAAGCTCTTCCCTGCTCTGTGTGAGCCTTTTATTGAGCCCAAATCCTGAGCTGGGCTGAACTATTGCAGCTCTGCTGGTTGCGTGGGGTCGCTGCCCATCCCCTCACGTGCATCTGAGTGTCCCTGAGCTCTCCTAACGAGGCCTGTTCATCTCAGGAGTCACCAGTTGCTCCCGACCTTGACTTAATTCCTCTTTCCCAACTCCCTGGAGTGAAGCAGATCCAACCGGAATGCTGCTAGCAGGGGCATGGCTCCGTTTCACACAGCGGGCTTGTTATTTGCCTGCATGATTCAGCTCTCTAACCTGTCTTCCAAGTGATGTAATCCCTGGGATCAGTTTGTGGAGACATTTCTGGGCTCCAGGGAATAATCCAGCCCTGGACACACACAACATTTGGAGATTCCCTCCCTCTGCATTCCCCAGCCTCGGAGTAATGGAATAATCCATTGGAAGGGATCGAGCTGGCACAGGGGGAACCAAGGCTGGCTTGGGCATGGAGCAGAGATACCAGCCTGTTCTGTGATAAATTTGTCATTTATTTGGGTATTTATTGATATATATTGTGATAAACTTGTCGTTGATTTGGCTGAGCCCCTGTTTGCAGCAGCAGCGACGAGGGCTGCACACCTGAAATGTCTTCCCATGACAGCGATGATTCATGTTGGCACTTGCAGCAATTGCTGCAATAAAGAGCCCTGGTTCCCTTTGTTAGGTAAAGATGGAGAGAGGGTTGTTTTTTCCCTCTAAAATCCTCCTCCGAAAGGAAACCAGGAACTTAAATTTAGCCTGACCCCAATTAGAGCACGGGCTGCGCTTGCTCCGCGCGGCGAATGCTGCATTGCAGCAGCAGAGCTCCCCGCATCCCGAGGCATCGTCCGAGACATCCGAGCACCAGGGCAGGGCTTGGCTGGGGCTCCAGGAACACGTGGCCGGGCTGGTGACATCCAGCTTTTTATCCCCCCTCTTTTTCCAGTGTTAAAATGCATAGAAAAGGGGTGTGCAAACAAACCGATCAGCTTCCATAAACTACAGAAATGGGGTTGGAAATGGTCCTGGCTTTCAGTCCCCACCAGAGGCTCCTCCTGTCAGGCTGCTTTTAGTTCTTTTTGATGGTAATTTATTACAGGCTCGAACATAGGAAGAATATTATTACCACAATATTCCCTGTAACACACAGGGAATGAGATCTCAGGCAGCATCTTGCAGGGAGTTAGCTGTAAAAACCTGGTCCCCCTTAGCTCAAGGATAAACTTTATAGCCTATATAGCATCTCTTTTTATTCCCATTATTAATTTGAGGAGTCCCTTTTACTAGCTAATTATTTTAACTGTAATAAATAGGTAACTGGCTGGCTTTGGATCTTTGCTGTTTGTGAAGAAAGCCTGGACTTGGAATTCATTATTATTGAGCATTATTGGTTGATTTTAGCTTTTCTTGATGTCTCAGCTCTTAGGGGGGGAATTAGCAATTTCTGCTGTTGCTTCTCATGAACATTGGCTCTGGGTAGAACTGAAGCTCTAAGCTGGGTTTGTTCAGTCCACGAACAGCCCCTTGGGTCATATTTTTCATGGATATTTTCCGCGTATCCAAGCTGAGAAGTTTAAATGTGAACTAAAAAGCTCCAAATCGGTTGGAATCGGGTGTCCTGGTTTTAGCTCTCCTCTTTTAAGGCCAAAAGAAGCTGATAATGGGCTGTATTTCCATTATAGTCCATTAAAAGCCTTATAAATAATTGATATTGTCCATAGGAAATTAAATCCATATGCATTTCCAGTGCTTATTTTGCCCCATAGTTGCATTTTGTGTAATTTCACAAACCTAAAAACCAAAATTCCAGAGACCTGGATACAATCTCCGAGATGGATGCACTGCAAAGAAGTGGGCAGGGTAGCCCTGAGTGTCCCCATATAGTCCTGAGGCCTCAGACTATGGGGAAAACCCTCTTCCCTTGATGCAAACAGGATTTACATTTGAAACGTGACCCTTGCACTTTCTTTTTACCCAACCACGGGCCAAGCCGCCGTAAATAAAAAAATAAACAAATAAAACTCAGGTTTTATGGCCTCCTTTCCCGTTATCTGGAGTTTTAGGGTGCAAAAGTCACACTTTCAAATGAAAACGCAGCAGGAAATGGGGCAGCTCCTCCTTGGACTTTAAGTCCTCCATTCGTTTTCATGGGAATCGGGAAGGGAGCTCCAGGGAAGCTCCATTTTCCCTGGCTTCCCAATCCTGGCGCTTAGGGCAGAGGGAAGAGTCTCCCAAGTTCTCATAGCAGAAGGTGCTGGGTGGTGCAGCCCCTGGCACAACAGGGCAATAAAAAGGGAATCCTGAACCTCTTAAAACCTCGGGCTGATTTACAGGAACTTCTGGTCTTTCCAGTGCCGTGAGGTGGAGGGAGCAGAAAGGAGAAGCTGGGAATGTGGCTTCCTGCTGAAATTATCCATCCCTCTCCAATTATAAGGCTTCGTGCACTGGCAAAAAAAAAAAAACAGGCAAAATTACAGGAGAGGAATGATTTAAAGAGGAATCAAAATGGTTCTGAGAATGAAAATCGTAAAACTTCCGCTGCCCATTAATGGGGAATAATTAACCAGCTCATTCAGTCTCCCAATGAGCCCTCGGAGATGCCATAAAGCTTCCAAGGCGGCTGCTTGGGAATGAGCTGGAAAAGCTCCTCTGGCTCCTGTGCTGATCGGACACGCGAGGGTTTTCCTGCGTTTGTGCATCCATGTAGCATCTCCATAGCATTTATATTCCCTTAAGCCAAACAGCACAGGTGAATCCCACTGGATCTGAAACGGATGGAGGGCTTTTGGCCAAAGAAAACGCTATTTATTCCATTTCACAGCTCTTGGAGCCTGGATTTAGCAGCCCAGCTCTAGTGGGAGGCGAGGTGGACGTAGCCAGGCTCTGCTGGGTCTCACCACTGCCCCTTTCCCTTTAGTCCCCCAGGTCCTCAAGAGCTGCACTGAATTCATCGAGAAACACGGCATTGTGGATGGGATATATCGCCTGTCCGGGATCGCATCCAACATCCAGAAGCTCCGGTAAGGAATCTTTTCCCCCCTCAACCTTTTCCCATAGAGAGGGGGACACCTAGTAGGATGTTCCTCTCTGGTCGGCAAAGGAGCATTATGAAGGGTGGCCTTTTTGCAATGGAAAAGAACCAAATCTCCCAGTTTTAATGCTTTTTTCTTGGACAGAAAGTGATGTATTCCACATGGGAGAGGAGCCCCAAGGCTCCTCCTTAGTGCCTTTCTTTGGCAGCTAGGGCTGAATTAAGTATATTTAATCTGGTCTATTTTACTATATTTAATCCTGCATTTGATACCTGCCTTTTTTTGGAGATGCTCTGAGGCTGAGCCTGTGTTGGGGGTCGGAAAATCACTTGTAGTCTGTAACAACCAGCAGAGCTGCACAAAGAGAAAGGGCCTGGCATGGCGCAGCCTTCCTTCCCTCCACCCTCTGCTTGAGCAAGGCTGCATCCCCAGTGTGGCTTGCAGAGCAGCCCTGTTCCTGTTGATGTGAAACAAAAATTTCCATGCCCTTATTCCAGCACTGAGCCAGCCTTGGCATCCATAAATGCTGTGATTTGGGATTTTCTCCCCCTCAAAACCACGGGAATGCTCAAGGCTTTATCTTCCTGTGGTTCCTCTCATCCAGGCCCCTGCTTCTTCACCCTACAAGCTGCTGTTCCCTGGGGTTTCACCACCCTCCTGTTCCCCCCTTCTTCCTGCTCTCCTCCCCAGGCACGAGTTTGACTCTGAGCAGATCCCCGACCTAACCAAGGACACCTACATCCAGGACATCCACTGCGTGGGCTCCCTCTGCAAACTCTACTTCCGAGAGCTGCCGAACCCCCTGCTCACCTATCAGCTCTACGAGAAGTTCTCAGTAAGTACAAGCCAAGGCTTCCACTTGCCTGCAAAGGACCCAACAACCACCCAGCCTCCTTCCCCTGAAATTATCCAGCTTGCACGTTAATCCATCAATGCCACGTTGCTCACACGTGTCTCCATCATCTCTCTGTGTTGCAGGATGCTGTTTCTGCTGCTACGGACGAGGAGCGGTTGGTTAAAATTCACGATGTCATCCAGCAGCTCCCTCCTCCTCACTACAGGTTTGTACAACCATCATTCCCTTCCTAAACAGCTCTGGAACAACAAGAGAGCACGGAGGCTGTTCCAGCTTTTCCCCAAAAACCAGCTGGGTTTTGCCACTGTGTTATATATTACACATCACCCATGTCTATTAGTGTATTAGGATGCGTGAAGTTCATTTATTTTTTAATTAGTACCAAGACAATTCCCACAAACCTTATTTGATTTCCCCTAGAAAATGCTGCAAGGAGGTAAGTAGAGGCTCGTTATGCCAAAAGGGGCTGATAACCCCAAGAAAATAGTTTTATTCCAGAAGCATAGCACAATACCCTATGTAGGAACAGCAATAAAGCAGAATGTATTAAAAAGAATATTTCAGGAATATTTCAGTAGAATAGTTTTAGATAATATTATTATTATTATTTAGAACAGTGATATCAATAAGTAGCTCCTTGGAAAATTACTTGTAATCACTAATTAAAACCCTTATATATAATTAATAAATATAACACTTGTCTAATAATAGCACTTATCTATCAATTACTAATTATAATGGTCTACTTAAGATCCAAAAAGCACCTTTTCAGAAATAATCTGAGACATCTGATTTTCTCTGGTGCAGGCCATGATTTTCTCAAAGGGCCACTACTGGCACCAGAGAAACAGGGACCCAGGAGCTGGTTTATTTGTGAAAAGGGGGCTCCTGTATCCCCTCTCCTCTGCTGCAGTCCCTGCTTGGCCTAAAAACAGGCAAAAATACAAATAAAGCTCTGGCTTCCCCATGGCCATTTGGGAAAGGCTGAGCCTGTTTGTGTGCAAAAATTCCCCCCTGTCCCCAGTGTGAGGAGGATGCAGGAGACAGGAGCAGGAGCTGCTGCTAAGCAACAGCACGGAGGAGGATGCAGCAGCATTTTCATTACCAGCTCCTGCTGGAAGAGCGCTGGTCCCTCTGCCTTCCTCCAAATGTTCCTGCCCTCAGAGGTACTTAAAATTCACAAAAGAAAAGCTTTATTTACTGGGAACACAAGCTTGGGAAGTGCAGCCTTTTGTCCCCCCGTCTCTGTCTAGAATGCAGCTGCAGGCAGCTCTTCCACAAGCTGGAATTCACGCAGGAATCCCCACCCGATCCTGGTGTTTGCCACCCCGAGATTCTGGTTTTCCAAAGCCTGGTGGGGGGTGTAAAATTGCCAGCGGAGCAAAGCAGCCAGAGGAGGAATTTTCCAGGCTCCCTCCTTCTAGATGATTCCTGTCACTGGAAAAAGAGCAGGTGCTTGAAGGCTTTTCCTTGAGCCTGCACAAATGAGGAACAACCTCCTTCCCCCACCTCCCCTTTAATTATTTGCTAAGGCAACTTTATCTTTGGTCTCGGGGTGCAGAGTCCAGCTTTTCCTTTTCTCTCTCTCCTCTCTCCCTGTGATCTCTCAAGCCCAAAGGAAATAATGAGGCGGGAGGTTTGTTTTGCAGAGGGCAGCAGGGCCTGCTAACTGGTGCTGAACACTTGCCTGTCTCTCCTTTTCCAGGACACTGGAGTTCCTAATGAGGCACTTAGCTCGCCTAGCTGATTACTGCTCCATCACAAATATGCACACCAAGAACTTAGCCATTGTCTGGGCTCCCAACCTCCTGAGGTATTATTTCTTGTTTGCTTCCTCCTTTCCTTCCCCCCACCGTTAAATAAGCCCAGTGTGTCCTTGGTCCTACAGGAAAAGCTGGTCTGTGGCAGGTTTCCCAGTGCTTCAGTCCCTGGGGTCTATAACATGACAGCTGCTGGCTGCAGAATTTCAGCACTAGGGCAGTAAATCTGTCCCCTACATTTTTTGCTTGGACTATATCTAATAGCACAGCTCAAAATTAACGGTATAATTTTAAAAGATTTGGTTAATGAAAATAAGAATCACCCTGGCCTCCATCCTAATGATTTCTGGACTTGTTCATTGCCAGGCTGAGAAATCTGAGTTATACTTTTCCCTGCGTGCAGCTTCTGAGCTGTCTTCTCCACTCCCAAGCAATGAAAAGGTCCCATTTGAGGCTGGTTATGTGAGTACTGGCGTACTTGCTGAGCAGGAGCAGGTAGAAATGTTGCCCACATATAAAGCACATACAAATACCACAGCATTTTCCAACACCCCTGCGTTCAACTACTGCCTTTTGCTGTACCTGGAAAGAATTGAAACTAACCCCTGTGCATGCAGCTCCTTCACCTCCATCCAGACCTGCCACATGCTGCTTTTGCTTCTAGACCCACGTGCTCCTCTTGCTCATGTCAGCAGGAACCCAACCTGAAACCCAAGCACGGGTGTAAATCCCTTTTGTGTCGTGCTTGGGTGAGATTTAATCTCTTAGCTCTTCCAAAAAGTCTTGTCTGCCTCAGCAACCAGACACAATAGCTCCCCTGATGCCGCATCCTTACCCAACCTGAGCTCCTCTTCCCTGTTTTATTGGATGTGCTTGTTCCTCAGGTCGAAGCAGATTGAGTCCGCCTGCTTCAGCGGCACGGCCGCCTTCATGGAGGTGCGAATCCAGTCGGTGGTGGTGGAGTTCATCCTCAACCACGTGGACGTCCTCTTCAGCTCCAAGCTCAGCTCGGTCATTCGAGATGGGGCAGGTGAGCCTCTTCCTCAGGCAGCTTGCCCTGCAGCAAACACAGACCTTTAAGAGCAACCTGAGCCTCCCCAGGGGATGTGTGACAGTTCTTCCCTTATAGGAAGAACATAAGGAGAGATTTCCAGGGTGTAAACACAACTTTGGGTTTGAAACTCCTCCCAATGCCTTTGTTACAAGCCAAGGATGCACCACTGAAGCAAACACCTTAATATCAACCCACTGCACCGAGCAACAGGAAGGAATCACACACATAAATGAATAAAACCCAGCCCTTTCCTGATTCTCCCTCCTCTCTTTGGTTTCCCTTTGCAGGCCACAGCTCCTTATCGCGGCCCAAGTCTCTGCTGGTGTCTTCTCCTTCCACCAAGCTGCTCACCCTGGAGGAGGCCCAGGCACGGACACAGGCCCAGATCAACTCCCCCATCGTGGCAGACAGCAAATACATCGAAGTAGGGGAAGGCCCTGCAGCTCTGCAGGGCAAATTCCACACAGTCATAGACTTCCCCGCGGAAAGGTACAGAGGGGTTTCCTTTATCCACATTATATAGCTGGTTTTTACCCCAATTTGAGCCCCAGGGCACTTGCCTGTGGTTCTCCAGGTGATACTGTAACCAGCCCTGTGAGGATTCAACTTATATATCTAGCTAAGCTAAGCCCACCCAGCAAATTAGGATTCAATTTACGTATCTAGCTAAGCTAAGCCCACCCAGCAACGTAAATTTATGCTGTTCCCCCTTTTCTAGTAGGGTTACAAGGTAATTTTTATGCCATTCCCTGCATTTTCTAGCAAAACCAGCAGAAACGAGGGGCTTTCAGGACCAAGCACCTCCACTCAATCCTTCTTCCCCTCAAAGTGGAGCTGCTGGACAGAGTTGCTGACTCTAGAAACAAGAGATGGCCACGGGAAGAGCCTATGGGGCTTTACAGAATAAACCAGAGATGCTTTTGAGGTAACTTCTATGGCAGTGCAGAGTTCCTGAAGGAACTGGTACCTCTGCTAGCTAAATAATAGCCCTTCCTTAGGTGCTTTATATACAGTTCCAAAGTCTTCTTGCACTGCACCTACTTCTTAAGTGGCATCCGCCCAACAGGACTTAAGCTGAGCTCTAAGAAAGAGGCTCTAAGAGGTAGCCTGAATGGGAAACAACAAGCAGCAGGTCCCAAGCAACGTGCTCTGCTTTCTCCCACCAGAAAAAGGCCTCCCAATAAGATGAAGAAGTCACCCGTGGGCAGCTGGCGTTCCTTCTTCAACCTGGGCAAGTCTTCCTCCGTGTCCAAGCGCAAACTGCAGCGCAACCCCAGCGAACCCTCTGAAATGAAAGCCATAGCCCTGGCAGGTAAAAACAAACCCACAATTCCAGCTCTTAGATCACTTTTCTCTTTTTTAAGGAGCGTAGCATTAACATTTACAGTGTGCTTGTATCTCCTTCTAGCGTTCAGGCCAGGCATAGCAGCTTGAGTCAAGCACTGCCTTTCCCCTCTTAGTTCAAGTGTTGGATGTTGGAGCTCCAGCAGGTGCAGCTCTTCTCTCCAGGTTGCTCTGGAAAGACAAATCCATGGGCAGCCCCGTAATAACTCTCAGAATAATTGCTTTGGACACCCTTATGAAACAGGAATTCATTTCTGTCTCCATTTGCTGCTCCCAAAAGGCACACATTTAACCTGGATAAAAGAAGGTGCTCCACAAACTTATTCCATCAGGAAGTTTTACCAGAATAACCTTAGAAGAAACCGAACATTTTCTCTAGCTGCATCTGATGCCCTCTCCTATATAATTTGCTATATAGATATCAATTAATCACCTCTCTAACTCAGCTTTTGGCTTCCCTAGGTGGAAGAGGAGACAGTGGGACCCTTCGCTCGGCTAAGAGCGAAGAATCACTCACCTCTCTGCACGCTGTTGATGGTAAGATGAAATTGCACCTGGCCTCTCATTGCACGTGAAGTAAAAAGGCAGGAGGACTTGCTAATTAATAGAGATGCTGTCCATGCTGTGCTTGGAGAAAAGCTGCACATCTCACTTTTCAGTGTCAAAAAACACCCTTAAAAAGCAGCCTACTGGTTTTGTCTTCCCTGACACTTCCCCTTTGCATTCCCTGTTGGAAAATGCGGCAAAACATCTTCCAGAGCTTAAGGCTAGTGCACACTTAAACTAGTTTATATGAACAGACTAAAATCAGACCAGGATATTGCTAAAGAGTTGCTGCAAACGTAGTTATTGCTAGTGAGGTTCCCTTCGTGTGTAGAGGATCTTGCACGTGCTCTAAGCTAGGAAAACAGCAGCTCTGGGCCCGTGCTTATCCAGAGGGTCACATTTCCCCAATAACTTTTCCATATCTGCTCGTTCCAGGCGAATCCAAACTGTTCCGACCCCGGAGACCCAGGTCAAGCAGCGACGCGCTCTCCGCTTCCTTCAACGGGGAGCTCCTGGGGAACATGAATCGCTGCAATTCCTACGACAACCTGCCCCACGACGACAGCGACGGCGACGAGGGGCTCATCCACGTCCCTGCCCTTATCTCCCCTCGATCTGCCGAGGACGTCGACCTGAGCCCGCCGGATATCGGCGTCGCCAGCTTGGATTTCGACCCCATGTCTTTCCAGTGCAGCCCGCCCCAACCAGAGCCCGAGTGCCTGGAGAGCCACACGTCCCTGCTGGAGTCCATGGGCCTCCACACGGAGAGGCCCGGCCCCATGAAGAAGGATTTCGAGTCGGGCAGCCAGTCGCAGACCCCCGGCAGCGCCACCAGCTCTGAGCCAGTGTCCCCCTTCCAGGAGAAGATGAGCCCCTTCTTCACGCTGGACCTGAGCCCCAGCGAAGAGAAGCCCCCCAAACCCCACACGTTCTCACCCAAAATGGGGCGAAAACCCCTCAAGTCGCCGCCGCCGCCGCCGCCGGGCGCAGCGGAACCCACCGCCTTCGCGCTGCCCAGCCGCCTGCCCGAGACTCTGGGAGCGGGAATAGCCAGAAACTCCTCAGCTTCCAGCTGGAGCAAAGGCCTCGGCCTCGCGGAGATGCCAACCAGGTCCCCACCCCAGCTGGCCTTGCCCCTGCCAAGCACCGAAAGGGCCGCGGGGGAAGGAGGCCACGCGGAGCCGCAGCAGGGCCCGCTGGCGGCTGCTGCCAAACCCGAGGTGCAAGAGGAAGGGGAGAGAGCCATGGCCAGCAGCCACACTAAGACTGTACCCTCTGGACACACGCAGCCAGGTACAGTGCATTTTCCTCCATTCTTTCTTTAAGTTCCAAAGGGCACCTGCTCTCATGCACCCACCCACACAAAAAAGTCCTTCTCTGCGTGCCTTTTAGGAGAGGGGATTGCCCAGCAGTCCTGAGCACAAGTGTCTTGCAGGGCTGTGCAGATCCGTAAGGTCCTCACAGGAATCTCTGCTTTCTCCCTCCAGCACTTGGAATTTTTGCCATAGCCCTTTGTATACCGCCCCCCCATCCTGCCGTATGTGAAAAATCTATAGCATGTCCTAAATCATTTCAGCCAGTAGACCATCTAAGACTTTAATTAACACAAAAAATCTGCCACCACTTGAAGAAGGGACGTTTTTGCCCCCAAACCTTAGGATCAAAATTACATAAGGGTATCTCCTTCTCTTCCACCTACCTCTCTAGCAATGCAAGAGGAGCCTTTAGACAATCTCTTGTGCTCTTTTTGTTTTATTTTTCCTCTTTATCTTTTTTTGCGATGAACTGCTGTGCTCTTGAGCAGCCTTTGCATGAAGACACCACATTCCGCATCCCCCGGAATCGCCGCGGGGCGAGCGTGGAAAAAGCAACCTCCCTTCTCTCATAGTAATCGTTAAGCTGAGCTCGCTCCTCCTTGGGTAACATAAAACCACTCTCTCTCTCAATTTTCCCATTAGGAGCAGTTGCCCTCGACTCCCCCCAGGATCCTGTTCCCGTCAGTTCCGTGTCTCTTATCCCTCCTCCTCCTCCGAAAAACGCAGCGCGCATGCTGGCCCTAGCCTTAGCCGAGTCCGCGCAGCAGGCGAGCGCTCAGGCTCACAAAAGACCCCCGGAGGCTCCGGGCGAAAGCCCCAATTCCACCGAGGCGGCGCCCGCCGCCGCCGCTCTGGAAAAGCTCCGGCTCGGGGCGCCGGACAAGCTCCAGCTGCACGCGGGCCCGTCCGAGAACCGACTGCACTTCCAGCCCGCTTCCCACGTGGAGCAGGAATTCCAAGGGAGCGGCGCCGAGCGCAACCACCAGCCGCCCACTGCCCCCGGTGCCCGCGAGCCCCTTCCTCCGCAGCCTGGTGGGCCGGGTGTCGGGGACGTGCCCTGGGACCACTGCACCCTGCAGCCTGCGAGAGCCGGGGACAAGGAGCAGCTCCCCCAAGCGCCACCCGCTTGGGAAGCGCCCTCGGCGGAGCCGGCGCCGGAGCAGCCGCCGGGGCGGGCGGCAGGCGACAGGCACCGCGGTCCTGCCGAGGAGCAGCCGCCGCCGACCACGGGGGCCAAGGCGGCGCCGGGGGGCTCCGTGCTCTACTTCGTGCCGGTCCCGCCGGCGGCGTCCAGCGAGCGCCTGGAGGCGGCTCCCGTGGACCCTCCGCGCGCGCCCGCCCCGGCGCCCCAGCCGGATCAGCAGGCAGCCACCGGACAAGCGCCGGGCACCAGGATGCCAAGCGGCCCCACGCAGGTGAGCGGAGGCGGCGCGCGCGCCGGCACCACGCAGGCCGCGTCCCTGCACCGCTCACCCGTGCCCCTTCCTTCCCTCCAGGTGTGGGCAGCAGCTGCGCCGGAGAAGCCGCCGGAGCCTGCCGCCCTCCTGCTCTCCGAGGGCAGCTCCGAGAAGCCCCGGGAGGCGGCGCGGGCGCCGCCGCTGCACCTGCGCTCCGAGTCGGTGCCCACAGGCTCCTCGCACGGCCCGGT